GGTACTAAGGAAGTGAGACATCAGGGAGTATCAGGTTTCCAGTGTTCTCCAGAGCACATGAACTGAAGACAGCCTGCCCTGGCTGAGGAAAGAGGTCTAGGGATCAGCCTAGATGTTAACCCCATCAGAGGATCCATGAAGGACTCTTCCATCCCAGCCTCACCTAAAGGTTTGGGTCCAAGAGTCAATTTTATGTCCAATTTCAGAAAGTTCAAATAGATTTTTATGTCAACATTTCTTTAAATTGGCACTTGGTGCTCAATAAATAGTGTAAAAAAGGGTAGAGGAAGGAAGGGCAGGAGGAAGCTTGGTTGCTTGGCGGACTACTGCTGTAGTTAAGTTTTAATATACTTGCTGGACCAAACTCAAGCAGCACACAGAAGTAGTAACATTTTCACAGACGAGGAGTACTTCACTCTCGTTCAGTAAATGGTTACTGAATGTTTATCATACGCCAGCGACTGTGCTAGGGACTAAGAATCCCTGTCCAAATAGAAGTTCCCATCTAGGCAGGACATGGAGCTTCACAAGAGTGTGAGATGTGCCCCAAGAAGGTGCAGTGGGAACTCACAGGAGGTATCTAAGCCACATCTGGAGGATCAGGGCAGGCTTCCTGGAGTGCTGTCTAAGGTGAAAACTGAATAATGCACATGATTAGGGAAAGTGTTCTTGTCAGAGCAAAGGCTACGTGCGAGGGCCCTAGAGAGGAGAGGGGGCATGGCATATCACAGGAAATTAGAAGAATCCAGCACAGAGCTGCCCTACAAAAGACGAAGAAGATGAGAGGAAGGAGGCCTGGATCAGGCAGAGACTTGGGCCGTGTTAAGGATCTGGACTCTGTCTAACAAGTAACAGGCAGTCAATGAAAGTTCTTGAGCAGGAGACTGACATAAATTAGATGTGAATTTTAGAAATACCACTCTGAATTGCAGAATTGAGAGTATAATGTAGAGAGGGAAGTGTCGGAGGCAGAGACTTGTTTTTAAGAAATAGTAGTAGCTCCCAGGATCATTGAGAAGGATGAAGAAAGAGAGCCTAGCTGAACTTTCAGGAACAATTCACAAAAAACCGGGCCAAGAAGGGATCTGCTGCCTCCGGCATGACTAGGAAGATCAAGAAGCTGCTCCACAGCGGCCAGCTTCAGAGCAGAGATCGGAACCTGCTGTCGTAATCCAGGTCAGAGCAGATGGCAGCCAGAACTAGGGTTATGACTGGGCGGAGAGGAGCGAAGAGGTGTGATTTGGCTAGGAGGAAGAATGGATGGGGGAAGGGAGAGTAAGGGATGATGCTCAGGTTTCTGGCTTGAAGCAACAGGATGGACAGTAATCCATTACTGAAATAGGGTAAACAAAAGAACTGGGGTAGGGGGTCAGCCTGGTGGTGTAGTAGTTAAGTCTGTTTGCTCTGCTTCGGCGGCCTGGGGTTTGTGGGTTCAGATCCTGGGTATGGGCCTACACACCGCTCATCAAGCCATACTCTGGCGGCATCCAACATACAAAATAGAGGAAGATTGGCACAGATGCTAGCTCAGGGACAATCTTCCTCACCAAAAGGGGGGAAAAAATACTTGGGTGGGGAAAAATGGATGTGGAGTTTTGGACTTAAGTAGTTGAAGATGTGTGTAGGATATCTGAGCAGCCAGTTGGAGTGGGGCACAGTCACAGTGAACTGAAGCCATGGGCAGGGAGGTCATCCAGGGAGAGTACTCAAGTCTGACAGCAGAGGGCCCAGGATGCAAGCCTGAGGAATGCCACTAACACTTAGGAGCCGGGCAGAGGAAGATCAGACCAACAAAGGAGACTGACGGAGAGGCAGGAGAGAGAGAAGAAACTACAATAAAATGCAGTATCAGGGAAGCGAAAGAAGCAGAAGTCAACAGTGTTAAATACCGCTGAGCGATTAATTGAGAACTCACAAAGAAACTGCTGTGACCTTTCAATGGAATGATAGGGGGGAAGGTGGATAGAGAGTAAGACAAGAGTGCCCAAGGACCCTGTGATGTGTAACGCAGAACTAGAGCGGCTGGCCACCATGATTTTAAAAAAAAGTAGAGGAGGAAAGGAAAGGAAAAGCAAAGGCCAGGCAAGGAGAGAAAGAAAAAGAGAGGAATAAAGATTGGAAGGAAAGAACAAACATCTTACTTGTATTTGATAAAAGCGTTCACATAGTATCACGGATAGATTCACAATGAATCAGCATATTATTAGCAGTAACTATAGTTTAGCAAGGTTAATAGATAAAAGGTAAACTTTTAAAAAATCAATAATATTTCTCTTCACCTGCAACAACTAGAAAATGTAATAGAAAGGCACCATTCATAACAGCAATGAAAACCATAAAGCATTTAGGAACTAACTAAACAAAGAATATAAAAGACTCCCATGGAGAAAATTTTAAATTGTTAAAAGAAGTTAAAATAAGATCCACCTGAATAAATGAGACGATCAACAGTTTGGAATAGGTCAGTTTAACATTATAAAGCCTTCAGTTCCGCCTAACTCTTGTGCACTGTTGGTGGGAATATAAACTAGTGCAGCCTTTAAGGAAAACAGCATGGAGGTTCCTCAAAAAATTAAAAATAGAACTACTATCCAACCCAGCTATTCCACTTCTGGGTACTTATCCAAAGGAATCAAAAATACTAACTTGAAAAGATATCTGCAGTCCTATGTTCATTGCAGCATTATTTACAACAGCCAAGATATGGAAACAACCTAAGTGTCCATTGATGGATGAACGGATAAAGAAAATGTGGTACATATATACAAGGGAATATTATTTAGCCATGAAAAAGAAGGAAATCTTGTCATTTGTTACATGGATAGACCTTGAGGGCATTATGCTAAGTGAAATAAGTCAGACAGAGGAAGACAAATACTGAATGATCTCACTTATATATGGAATCTAAAAAAACCCAAAAAAACCAAACTCATAGACACAGAGAACGGATGAGTGGTTGCCAGAGGTGGGGGGTGGGGAACGGGCTAAGTGGGTGAAGGTGGTCAAAAGGTACAAACTTTCAGTTATAAAATAAATAAGTCCTGGGGATATAATCTACAGCATGGTGACAACAGTTAATAATACTGTGTTGTATATTTGAAAGTTGTTAGGAGTGTAGATCTTAAAAGTTCTTATCACAAGAAAACAAAATTTGTAACTATGTGTGGTGATGGATGTTAACCAGACTTATTGCAGTGATCACTTATTGTGACTTATACATATGTGGAATCATTATGTTGTACACCTGTAACTAATATAATGTTAAATGTCAATTATAGCTCAATAAAAAGACCAGTTCTCCCTAATTAATCTATAAATTAAATGCACTCTCATTTTATTATATGACATTGTTATTATTTAGAAACTCAAACTTATTCCAAATGCATACGAAAGAATAACGGTTCCCAAAGGCTAACTCAGCACTAAAAAGACCCTAAGCAAACAGACAGACAGACAGACAAAAGGACAGAAAGGGGAACTTGTTCTGCGAACCAACAAACCAGTATGGCACTGGCACATAGAAAAAGAGACCAAGAGTGCAGAATGGAGAGTTCTGAGACAGATCCAAGTATACATGAGAACCTATTGTTTAAATACTATTGCCCCATAAATTAACTGGGAAAGAACAAACCATTAGTAGGGAAAACTAGCTCCATACATGGAGAAAAAATGAAAAGGAATTCCCACCTAATAGTATGTACACAGGTGAACCTCAGGTGGATTAAGGACCTAAATGTGAAAAGTAAAACTACAAAGCTAATAGAATTAATGTAGAAAAATATCTTTATGACTTATGGAAGAAAAAAAGTTCTTAACTAAAACCCTCAGAGGACAAAACTTATGTTTAAATAAATGTGTTTAAACTTCTGTGCATATTATCTATGCAAAATATAAAACATTTAAAAAACTCTCCTTGTTGTTAAAGTATCAAGTTTGCAGCAGGTTTTCCATATGAAAAAGATAAAATTAGAAGAAATGATTATTCTTTATGATTATTCATTTAGACACCAGAGTTCACGAGTTATCAGGGAAATATGTAGGTGGACTTAGTTTTACATTTAAAATTAAAGTATTGGGTAAGTACTATGTATTTTTTTTTACTCCATAAATGCCACCACTTCAGTTCTTCATATACTTTTATAATTGTCCATGCTAACCCCCAAATACCTAAGAGAAAAGCTAATTTTCAAGAGATTCATCAATTATAATCTGCTTTTTTCCACACTTGCAAGATTTTCAAACTAAAAGAACTGATTACTCCCCTTAAAATTAGTGCTATATCATATGCCCTAAGCAAACAGACCAAGCAGAATAGAATTAAATTAAAACAGAAGTTTTGAAAGTTGTATTAAACATATTATAGTTATTATAGTTATTATGAAGACAATGAAATTAAAATAATGTAAAACTCAACTTTGATCGAAATCTTAGGTTATCCTAAAAGCTTAGGGCTATGTGCCAACTGTTTTATTTCACTACTGTCAGCTTCTGTAAGAGGCAGTACAAGTACCTCAGAATTCAGATATACTAAGAATGGTCTAAAGAAAAACCAACAACTAGCCTTTGTTTTCAAATGAGATGTCTAAAAATGAGACTTGAGTGTAACAGCTGGAGAAAGACCCAAATTCAGTGCAAAATGGACTGGATACTTAAATCTTCATAAACTAGGTAATAAAAATATATTAGGCGCAATATTTCTAACCCCCAAATGAAGGACATTTACTTAATTCAAAAATTCATTCATGTTTCCAACTCCCTTTTTCCATCATGCTACTCTGAATTTAACCTTTCTTAAGAGCAATAAAACCTGCTAAAAAGTGAATCATATAATTTAACTTGTTTAATGTATTAAAATCTTTCTTTTTCAACCCTTTTAAGTGCCTCCCCCCACCCCCCCAAATCTACCGTCTGTATATTTCAGAAAACTATAAAATCACCACTAAATGGTATGATATAATAATCCACAGGTATTCTAAATGTATTAGATTAATAAAATATACCTTGAACAACAACCTGGCTGCCTGGGACAAAGAACTGCTGTGTGCCATCAGCTGATTGTGCTGCATACTGTACAATTGTAGCACCTGGTGGAGGAGCTCCTGAATTTGTCATTGTTAATGCCTGCAGTCCCTGAACACCATCAGATCCTGGGTTAGAAATCTGGATTGTTCCACCTTGGGCTATAGCAACTTAACAGAAAAAGAAAAGAAATATTAGAGAATTTCACGATTCATTTTTAATACTCCCAATACTGGAAGAATATACTCTGGGCCTCTTTATTACCAATGCTTCCCATTCTAAGTTACCCTTACTGCTCTATGCTGAATTGATAAGGAGGTCCTCCTTCATGGGACCACACTCTGAAAAAGCTCATAAATACTCAAAAATAGCTCATATTCAGAATTGTTTGACAGACATAGAACCCATGGAGTTTTCCGTCTCCCTGGCATCCATCCAGCTAAATTATTTAAGAAGCAGACTGGAGATGCAGACAGGGAGAAAGTCCAGCTTCTTGATTTTCTCCATTCTTTCAGATATTTTTAGTTATAGATAAATAGCATTCTTCCAACATTTAAGAAATGGTCAGCAAGGTTCCATTGAGCATAATTACAATGAATTTGTACCTTCATTCAGCTAACCACTTTTCTAATTTATCATCAAGAAAGTAGCTTTTAATGGAATATATTACATATTTTGGTTTTAAAGCTCAAGTCTACAAAACTTTAACCTTTACCATTTTGACTATGCCAGGAGAATCCTGACAAACAAAATGTTAAGCTGGAAAGGACCTTAAAAGGCAACTGTACTGAAAGATTGTGTGCTACACTATTTACCTCTACCAAGCATCTCCAACAACTGCAGCTAACGGCAACAAATATGAGGCAGATTTCCTCTACATACTGAGACTTGCCAGACATGTTTAAAAGTTAACATATTTATGGAAAGTTTCAAAAGAATAATTGATTAAATGTTTTGTTTTTAAATTTCACTCTAAAGTACTCTTTAAAATATCTGAGAGTACTGTATACTTTAACACAAAGATTATGACCCCATGTTTTAGTTTAAACACTAGACATTAAGTGGAACTAAGGGCTATCCTTTTTTCAAAAAATCACATATAAACTAGCTAACCAGACTTTACAATGAAAATAAAAACACCACCACCAGAATAACACAACACTTATAAATCAATGTGAATGTCTGACAGGAATGTTATAGTAGTGTTAAAATATACTCTGAATCTTTCCAAATCATTACATAACATTTTTAAGAGTGTCTGGGCAAAGGACCACTTAGTTGATGACCTGATCGTTTACACTTGTCAGAACTATTAGAAAGAGTAACAACAACAAATCTTCAGTGCTTTGACCTAAGGTTGTAGGGCCTAACACAGAAAGATGGGTTAACATTTTTAAAAACATTTCAACATAGATGCATTCTCTGCATTTTAGTTCATTGACATGCCACTAGTAGAATATGATTGACAGAAACTGAAGAATCAGTTACAGAATGTCAATAGTGCTGAGGTTGAGAAACTCTGATGTAATATCACTTTATTTATCTCGTTCACCTAGAGTACTATATTCTGTACATATTTAAAAACAAGATTTTACCATGACTCCAAAGATTTGCGGGACTCTCCCCTTACAATAAAAAGGTTTGGGAGAGATCTATGTCTAACTTCTTAAAAGGGAAGGATAAAGAAGAGATGCTGCTTCCTGGGTCCTCACGGCTGGACATGAATGAATTTCATATGTTATCATACATTTGAATGTGCATTTTCAGTTGATGATTAGTTTGATGTCATAGGAATAGTGCTTTAGAAGGAACAGGCACAGGCAGTGTAACCACAATGTGTAAGAAGCACAAGCCTAGCATATAGCAGGCACTCAATAGAAATGATGAATGAATGGCCTTCATTTCCTCGAGACAGACTATATTATGAACAACTTAAGCCACCTGTGAATCTAGAAGAGTTAAATGAAGTATGGTTTCAAATTCTAAATGACTCATTTCAATGCCAATACAATTATCCAGCTTTTGGACTAGTAAAAAGCTGAGGTGAGAGTAGTTGCTTCCAAGGATAAGAACCATGAAATAGGTAGATAACAAAGATCCTTACTTTCTTTTTTCTTTCCATAGTTTCTTTTTTTTCACTTTCTTTTTCAATGTTTTCCTATAATTCCAACCAAAACTTCCTCACTTTTACACCATAAAAAGCTGATATATCAAGAATTTGTTCCTCTCACCATTTTCTGGTCGAGTCATTATATAATTAGATGTGGACAACAAGAGCTGCACGCGCGCGTGCGCGCACACACACACACACACACACACACACACACACACACACACAGAAGCTGGCTCCAGGGGGAAAACGGTCTTACTAAGTCATCTTGTACTTTGGCCTAGCTTTTATTTTTTAAGCCAAAGACACTGTTGATTTTGGCATTATCAAATGACAGAGGACTTTCCTATTTAAAATGTTACCTCTCAATTGACAATAAACAAGATTTCCCAATGCTTCAGGATACTGGAAATAAGCTTTGTGCATGCATCTGTGTATTCAAAAGATTTGAGGAGGAAACTTCCTAGGCTAGAAAATATTCAAGGACAGTATAATGTGTGTTTTCAGCAAACACTCATCAAGATAAATCAAACGGTAGGAAAAACTAAGATGAAATTAACTGAATGAGTTGTCATAACTCATTTCGTTTTAGCTAATTATTTTTTTAAAAAAACTTATGGAAGTTTTCTAATAAACAGAAGTAGAAAGAATTTTCCCTACCCACTCATCCCAAACTTTTTTTTGTCTGGAGTATTTCAAAACAACTCCCAGACATTGTGTCTGGCTAATCATTTTTAAATGAAACGATGGGCCCATAGGAAGGCCATTAGCAACCAATGAAAGTAAAACACCTTTCTATTTCCCACTAGCTTTACTTGGGCACCCAGGCTCTATTAATGCTTTCTTGGACTGACACGTGCCTCTGAGGCATAAAAGCTTGTGCCTATGGCCACACTGTTGTTCACAATGAAGACCCCACACTGGCCTATGAACATTGATTTGCACTCAAGCAGAAGTCAAGGGTTTTTTTATTTTAGACCATAAGCATAGGAACTTTCCTCTTTTAAGTAATCCTTTATAACATTACAGTTTCATAAAATAATCAAAATTGAATTAAAATTGGACAGCTAGATTATATAATCAATGATTTAAGCCTACTGGTACGTCACCTGCTCATAGCAGTCGTGGGTACAAGTTAGACTCTTTTGTCCTAGTTGCTCTGGGAAGGACCTGACTCTTTTCCCCTAAAGTCTCAGGTGAGCTGTACTTCATAATTAAGTAGGTCACTCTGTATCCACTGGCTGAATGTCATACACACTGACCTTACGTTAAGAAAGAGTGTCTAGATAAAGTGTAATTCATTAATTTACTAAGCATTTTTCTACTAAGTTAGTTTTAGTTACACAAATGTCTTTATAAACTTCTTATATAGTTATGGTATTTGGTTTCAAATCAGTATTAACTCAAGGATGTCTTACACATCCCCAACTTACCATATACCATGGTAACCAGGATGATATCATGTCAACTAGTCTAGGCAATAAATGCTTTACAAATTCCTGGTATACAAAACTGTGTTTAAAAAATCTGCTCCTCCCATTACTCACTGCCATTGAGCACTTCTCTCCTGGAGCTGTTAATATCATTGATGTAAGGAAAATATTACTTATGGGATGAAAATTCAAGAGTTTTGGTAAAAAATTTTTAATTAAAAAATTAATATTTTAAAGTCTTGTCTAATCATTAAAGAAGGAAGAAGAGAAAGATAAATAAGGGTAGGAACTGAAAAAAAGAGTTCATGACCAAATGAGGAAGGAGTAGAATTTATATAAACTAAGATTTCATCTGACCTCTTTCCACTTGATGCTAATATCTGTCTTTAATCTGAAACCTTTATATATGAGCTAATTCAAATACATAAACATATAAATATTTAATTATTATTTAAAACCATCTTTATTCCAAATTGTAATAAAGAGATTCACAAATAAAATTTCATTGAATTACCTTTACAAAGAACACAGACCTTATGCCAGTGAATTCTCAGGTTTAAATTCAAAAAGTGAGCACAAAACAGAACCTGTGAGGACCTGGGCCTTAAAAGCCAAGGAGTGCATACAGCAGAAGAAAGACTTGACAGACTCATGCTGTAACAAGAACAGCAACACCCAGGTTAAAGAGCCAGATTCCCATGGGTAGATCCCTCCCGTGTTTGCTTTGAAAGTGACCTTGGGAGAATGTCAGCAAAGTTGCTACTGAGAATCATAAACACAAGTGCATGTCCTTTAGAACGTATGAGCCTGTCAGGTGGCCAAGGCCTTGATGGAGACATGGAATCAGTGTCCATTCAAATGGTCTCCTGAGAACTCTCAATTCATGAAGCAGTCCGCAAAGTTCACGTCTATCTTTCCCATGATGGTGGACTATGGATTGACCCACTTACCTTTAGTGTATAACAATTCCAGTTAAAAGGAGTTCATAGACCCTCATTCTAACAAGGTTCCTAGTAAAATAAAGTAGGAACAAGCAAATAGACGGGACATTTAGCAAAAAAAAAAAAATAACTGGAAGTCTTGGGTGATGGTCCTTAATTGATAAGGGAAGAGGTCAGGTATAGTAGAGTGGGGGATAAAAAAACTGTCTTTAGAGAAAATTTAGTGAACTATGAAACCCCAAACATTTTAATTTATTTAGCTGCTTTACTATGCATTTATGAATTCACTTGCATTTAATGCATATCTTAAATGTTTTACGCAGCAAGTAACATTCTTTGCTAATTCTAAGCCTTTCTGAACCGCTTTCAGAAATGTTCTTCTGTGACAGAACAGATTTTTTTTGACCAGAGCGACTTACTAAGCACACAGCAAACCTATCACTAAGATCTGTACTTTCAGGAAAGATTTTGCAAGTGTGGCTGTCTTGGTGTTGCAATAATGAATCCCTATTTTAAGTTATTTTTCCCACTCCCAGGGAGTAGCCTATTGCAACTTTCACTTATTAATTTTTGTAATTAAAAAAATAAGTTAAAATAGTAAAGCCAACTTCTGTCAAATATTTAACTTTCAACTACTAACTGCTTGTATACAGGAAAACCTGAGTTTACTTATTTTTATTTTATTCCTTCAGCTTTGACACACCAAGTTCTTTAGTTCTTTTTGTTTTTAACTCCAACTAACTCCTTATACCAAATTAAAAATAAATAATCTAAAATAATAATCTTTGAAAATAAAAAACAAGTGAAGTTTGGGGGAAAGTCATCCATGGATAAAAGTAGAAGAAAAAATTAAAACTAAAAAAACAGTTTTACAATAAAAGGTTATCAAAGGGTCTCAAAAATAGGTATATGCAAATACATAGAAATGTCTCCAGAAATTCTAGCAAAATAAACTTTCCTATTCTAAAACCAAAGGACACCAGTAATTATTTCTATTTCTAGATATTTAGGAACAATATTAAAACATTAATATCTGTTGTTATTCCTAGTGAGAAATATGATTAATGAAAATGGATTCTGTGTATGTGTAAAGATACAACCACCATCCAGTTAAAGTCAACATCTTCTAAAAAGTTTCAATATTAGTGTTCACTTCTTGAATGAAAGAATTATCAACAGAAACAAGTGGCACTGAATGTCTAAGAAATACAAAATTTTAACAAAGGCAATATGGCTTTTCGTGAACCAATAAATGGCAATTTTCACCTGCAGACGGCGCACATAGAATAACCACAACTTTTCATTAAAATAACTGCCAGAACCATACTGGAGGGGTCTCAATTCAGAAACCTAACTTACAGACACTGCATGACTTCTAATGTTGCAAACAGATAAACGGCTAACTTCTAAACATTCGATTTTCTAGTTCTCAACCACAACTCCCGACTCCACTACCCCCTCCCCAGCCTCACCCCCAGTGACATTTAAAGCCGAGCCCCCCCACTGCCCCCACTGCAAGCTGCACTAAGAGCACAAGAAACAAAGGCTTCAGCGCTAGCTGGAGGGAGCGGGCCAACGACCTTGAATGAGACGTAGCCGCAGCTGGCTTACATTTCTCTGTTGCCTGTCCAAAGTAGCAAGTCTCTCTTCCTGGACTTGTACCTGTTGTCTCCTTTTGTCCTTACACTAACCCCAGAGTTTGGTAATTTGCTATTATTCCCATTTCAAAGACTAAAACCCTGAGATGGGAAAACAAAGCTTCTCGCTCTAATCCAGTCAGTGAGCAGCAGGACAAGGGTGCCTTCCCCACGTCATCTCTAGCTTCAACATTCTCTCAACCCAACGTGTTGTCATGATGTCAATGTTCAGCTAATGATCTAGGCAAATGAACTGAGGCGTCCCCTTCCTGTCACCTTGTAAAGAGACCACCGCGTCCACCACTCCAAAGCAGGCTCAGGACACGCCAGGGAAACTTTTAAGATGACAGCCTCTTTGGTCATCCCTCAAACTTTAAGATGTCTCAGCATTATTTTGGCAGTAATTTCCAACCTTTTCCCCATCACAACACAAACAGAAAATCATAATATGTGTAGAGTCTACTGTCCAAGGCCAGAGCTGACCCATCGGGAGGTTCTAGCAGCTCCAAGGCCTGCCCAGCCACTCTGGGCCTGAGGGCACGAGGAACTCACACACCTGTGACCCGTGTGCCGCTCTGCAGGGGCCCACCGGCTGGCAAACCCGGATGTGCAGTCTACAACTCCCACCACGTGCTCCCAGTGGGCCAGAGAGAACAGCATGTAAACCAGAGAAGTAACAAAAGAGGAATGACAGTGAAAACCTCAAGGTCTGACTCTTACAAACAGTGATGAGTTTTCTTTTCCTAACAGTGACTTTGGAAAAGGCAAGTCAGTACCCTGCAGAGGCTGTGGACAAATTATACCCCAGTTCTGCCAGGTTTGATGAGGGGAGCTACCCAAAGAGCGCAAGGGACCAAAGGAGAATGGGTTTAATACTGCAAATCCACTGCCACTGTCAGAAAAACTCTAACATACTCATGACAATATAAGGTCTTTATATATACTAAAGAAGATTATAGCTTGCTTCAATAGCCAGGTCTTAAATTAAGACTTGAGATTTTTCTAGATATTATTGCTTTTTAAAGGGAAATCAGAAAATATATCTAAAATCTTAACACTGTATTTGGACCAATACAGTATTTAATATCACACATATTCCACTACCTAAGCAGCCTTTTTTTAAAAAACTTTTTTCTGTCTTTCCCTCCTCCCATTTTCTTTTCTTCCTAACCCTCAATTTTCACTAAAGTATTTTTATGTATCAAACATTCTTGATTCGGGAAAAACTAGTGCTTTAATTGGAGCAAAAAGCACAGAATGAACAGCTCATTAAAATGCACAAGACTAAATATGAATGTATCTGTTTATTTAGAGCTTTTGGTACTTAAAATTTCAAATAAAACGATCTGTCCAATTGCTGTAGTTCTAAAAAGTAAATCATTTTTCCATTCTCTTCTGGAAAAAACCGCAGCACAAATTAACACAGAGAGTAGTGTAAACAGAATTACATTTAAAACACAATTTAGAAAACATATGTACTTCTTGTAGATTAGTAAGTATAAAATGTAATTGTTGGTAACAAAGGCCAACAAAAATGAAACACATTTGTATCTTATGTTTGCATGCATCATAAAGACAACAAAAAACTGTAAGTTTTAAAGTTTTACTAGACATGAATATAAACATATAAATAGGAAAAAATCCTTTTATTCTACCCCCAAATTTTCTTCTATATTCAGTAAAGAACTGTATACTTTTCAAAAGTATATGTGTGTATATATACAAATCTCCCTCTTCTTGAACAGGTACTTTTCATTCAATGGTACACAGTTTAGGTATCATGATGCCTTTTAAACCTGAACCATTCAATGTCAACTCAGAGGCTTCGCTGTTCCTAGAGAAGACTTAAAGCTAGCCTGCACCATATCGTACTGCAGCATACATACTGTATTGCCCCGTGCTAGTCTGATATATGCTAGTCGGTACTGCCATGGTAGCGATGTGAGGTGGCGTTCTTTCTTCCTCTGATTTTTCTTCTTCAATCTTGGGAACACCAGGCCCATCAGAGGAAAGTTCATTCAGTATTTTTCTAAAATATAATTTAACAATAAAAATAGTTAAGATATACAAATGAGATTTAAAACAGAAAAGCTATAACAGAAGAATCAGTTTGATGTATAAGTATTCTCCCTTTTTTGGAAAAAGTATCATTACAGTAGGAAACTTAATTAACATACCTATAAGAGGGTCTTCGTGAAAGGATTTCTCTACGTTTATGAGAATCAATTACATCTTCTGATTCTGCAGACTCATCTGTCTCTGCAATCGTTGCTACCTATAATACAAGAGTTTCTGAAATGCATCACAAAATATGTGATCTCCTTCATTCAAAACACGGTGGTTACACGTCTCTGTGTGCACTTCAAAGCCAGGTGCTGGGGAAGCGCCCAGCAATACAACACAGTGAACCCGCACTAATGGAGCTCACAACCTGGCTTAGGAAAGGAAGCACAGACAGAAACATTTCAGTTGTAAAACAAGTGTGTGTGGAAAGGAATGCTACGGATAATAAATACTAGAGAAATGCAAATGAAAGAGTGGTTGGAATGTGAGGTGAGGCTTCCCAGGAAAGGACTAAATATAAGATTAGTAAGGTCTAAGATTCTGACTCTGAAAGTCCTCTTACACACACAGCAGGGAGTGAATGAGCGAGTGACAGAAGCAGAAAAAGTGTCTCCATTTCACTGCCCTCTTCACAATACCACAGCTGACTTGAGCTAGGTCTTCAAATTAGACATTAGATAGGCCCAAAGAAGAAAGGATATTTGAGCAGGTAAACAAGTGAGTTAACAAGCCTGGTTAAAATTAGGATTTACATTACAAGAAGTAGGTTGGGGCTTGATGGTGGTAGGTCTTAAAGGTCAAAATGAGGAATTTCTCCTTAAAAGAAAGAGTAGAGTTTTAAGTATGATTTCATTTTTTCAAGTCAAGTAATAATATGATTATTAAACAAAATCAGAAAACTAAAATAATATATCTGTCTACAACATGACTGCTCTCAATCTATCCATCCATTTATCATTCTGGGCCTAGGATAGTTCTGACTTTACAAAACTCACTTTACTCATTACAATTTAATATTACAGTTACATGGGAATTTGATTTGGGCAAAATCAAAGGAGCTTTTTAAAACGTCAACAATGCAAGCAGGAATATATACTGCCCAAGGCACAGGGATGTGCATATATGCTCACCTCCAAATGACCATGTCACACCTAAGTACACTCACCAATGAACAGAACTTACTAGAAAAAATGTTATTGCAATCAGACAATAATACATCACCTATCATTTTACACTGGGCTTTCACACATCTCTGATATAATCATAACAACCCCCTATGTGAGGCAGGCCATTATTCTCCCTTTTTAGAAAGGTGAAAATTGAAGTTCATGCAGAGAGATTAAGTGACTTGCCCACGGTTCAACAGGGAGGAATTCTAAGACAATGATCCACTGGCACCTGGCTCTAGAAAGATAATTAAATCATCCATTTACTAAAATCCAAAAAAGCCTACTGAATATACTACTTTCTTCTAATACTAGCTAAGTTAAAACTAAGCAGAAAAATCTGCACCCCAATAAAAGACATAATACAAAAAGGAGAGTGGAAAGACTTTCTTGTTTTATAATTAAGGTCAAAGAGTCCGAAACTCTTGGAATCAAGGGTCATCACAGAAAGAAGAAAAAGACAATGCTGAGAATTATTCTTACACTTTTGAGCAAGACAGGAAAAGACACCTGTTCTGCAAAGATAACCAAGCTTTTAATGCATGTATATTTATTACTTCAGATATTGTGTTACAACTTTGTCCTGATTCTGCAATAAACTGTACTCATATATGCAGGAAAAGGACAAGATTAAGTATGTGCATCTACGTTTTCCTCACAGATCTTTCTGTCATCGATTAGGTTAAAATAATTTCAAGATTTAACAGATAACAACAAACAGATCTAAAAAAGGGACAAATAAACTCAGTAAAAAGGAAAAGTATGCTTTAATAAATGAATACTCATTTTAATTAATCAATAATCTATTGATGCAAAAAAGGTTTTAGCTTCAAGAAATGTTAAGGATTTACGACCAACCTTGATAATAATAATAAAACACATCTCTGGATCACAACCACAATAATCATGTCTATAAACACTAAGATTTAATCTGAGGGGGGTTCATGACGTATAAACGTAACACCAAGGTGACAACATCATTTTATTTTCTATGGATTACACATATTGAGTTAAAAATGAACTAAAACTTCTACATACCTACTAATGTGAGTATTCATGCAAACAGCATCAGTACTACACTCGCTACATCAGTGTGTTATCAGACATCTTCTCCAAAGAATCCTCAAAATATTGTTAAGCACCACTGGAGAGCTTTGCTCAATAAATCTGAGTTTGAGCACAGAGCAACAACGTGAAGAAGAATTACTCCTCTGTCAATTACTGATTCTGCAAATGAAGAGCTGACAATAAAACTGCAACTCTTCATCGAATCTATGTCTCTAGCAGGGCACAGTACACTGCACACATAAACAGGAAATTCCACCAAATGTCTAATAAAAAGACTTGAGAATCAAAGCTACACAAAGAAAAAGGTCATAAATGCATTAGTAAAAGAAAAAGAAAACCTCAAGAAAGTGCAGGACAAATTACCCAGGAAGGAAGCTGACCTGAACAGTCTGTATTTGTGGTGACTGAATAACCGATGGCTGTGGGGTCTGAATTACTCCCCGGACATGGACAGTTTGCCCTGAGGGTAATTGTACTAGAGTTACAGCTGGAGAGCCTCTTCCGGTGCCTGATCCAGCTACAGAGACCTGCAAAAATGATCATCATTGAGGATTAAGGTTGCACCTTTTTTTGTTCTTTTAAAGAAATATAATTCACTACTATGACTGGCCTATTTTTCCTTTCTTTTTCCTGTTTCTAAGAAATGACGAGCAAGCCAGAGACTTACCATTAGGAGGCGGTCACTGCCCTGGAACAGTCATCCTCTGATGTGACAGATAGTAGAGAACCCATGCTCCTCACTTTCGGTTTCCATGCTTCGGTGGCTAAGAAGGTTCCCAGCACAAAGTTCTAAAGCAGTTAAACTACCTCACTACGAGCTCAGGACTACTAACAGTGAAGCCTTACTTAAGCCAGAGGAGAAACTGCCCCAACTTCTTAAGATAAATTGGAGACAGAACTTAAATATGGTGAATTATTTTTTAATAAATGAAATGTTCAATATACGATATTCTAGTACTACTCCAGGTGCAAGACAATGCCTTGTCTCTATAGTAGTGAAAATTGCAGCTATTTTTATGCCTCCATAATCACAAAAGAGGCACAAGCCAAAGAAATTCCAGCTATTTTTATGCCTCCATAATCACAAAAGAGGCACAAGCCAAAGAAATTCCAGGACCTTTCACGCCCGTAGCGTCTCTGACCCACAGAAAGCTCCTGCCTTAGGGCTGGTGTGGCCCTCTCACACTTTTTCTCTTCCCTAGCCTGAACATCCAGAGAGGGCCGGACCATCACTTAGTTTGCACTGAGAGAAGAGAGCACAGCCATCTCCCAGCTACCTTGAGTGCTTTCGACAGAGATCCCAACCAGCAAAATACAATAATACCTCCCCAGGACTCAAAACCTGCCAAGTTTTCTAATTAGTGAGCAACTCGGTCCTATAGACCAGTGTAATCTTAGAAACTTTGCTTCATTTTACTAAGTTTCACTATTCATTATCACTTAATCAAAACAGTCAGACTTCGGCAATGAAATAAGCTACCAGTTCCTATCATGACTGGCAGGAGAATTGCAGGATGTAAAACAAATTTTGAAGGAAGCCTCTGTGTAGGACCTCACTTTAAGGAACACCAATGATTTCCGATCTACTTATATTTTAAAAGAATTATTAAAAACTGAGTTTATAACAGATAATTTTAAGATTTATTTACATCATTCCCTTGGAAAGCAAACTTTGGCAATCCAAAAGTAAAAATTCTTTTATCCAGGCAAGAGAACCTATATGGTAAGCACTGTACTAGGTACACCAGGGTAGAAAGAATTAATAAAACTAACATCTCAGAAACAATAGCACAGCAAACAGTATGGAACTAATTGTTCCATGGGACAGGTCATGAAAGTCATAGGAGCACAGCCTAAAAGATCAGTATGGGCCTGAACAGTAAGTGAAGGCGCTGTGCAGGTGCCACAGCTTTAGCCGGTCCTTGATCTGAACCTGGAAAACAGCTGGACAGAAAAGGGAGAAACTAAGGCACAGCCAGCCAGCCAGCACGTAGCCGAAGGGGCAAACTCAGCCCATCTACCCCTGGAGTATTATTGTCTACCTGAGATTTTAGGGGAAAGAAAAAGGTTATCCCACTATGGAACCAGATTGAACAACTAGATGTTAAAACAAACAAACAAACAAAACTGGAAAAATCTATTCTGCAAATACTCCTAGCACAAGAGGCAAATCTGTATGAATTATAAAAAGGTACACACCTCCATGTGGACCAATCACTAAAAGGTACTCCTTTGGCCGCACAACTAATTCTCACATCATTTAGTCTCAGGAGACCTATACACTCTTAGAAATCACCGATGACCTCCAAGAGCTTCTGTCTGTGTGATTTATATCCAGCAGGGTGCTGCAAGCATTTAACAGCCAGCTTTGGGCAAGGGAGAGCCTTGATTTGTAACTTTTCCTGATTTCTGTCATGTGAAAACTCCTACTACAGCAGATTTCAAGCTACCAACGGACAACACTGAGCACACAGTTGGAAAAAGAGGCACACAACCAGCTCTCACAAGCCAGCTCCAGCACACCACTGGTTATATGAATTGATATTTACCATATTAAAATTAAAACTGAGAATCTAAAAGAATATTTAGCAACTCATTTAAAAATAATTCAATTACATGGTAACATAATAAGCATTTTATGAAAATTTACTTTTCTAAAACAAAAAAGATGAGTGACAGTGTTTTTACATTTTGACAAATTCTTTTAATGTCTGGTTTAGCCGAAAACAGCTAAATTCTCATACCTATTTCTGTACTCAATCTGTTGCAGTATTATTTTAGTTGATATCTGAAGAAAATTTGGAGCTCACATAGATATATGATTGGAAAAGGAGGACTATCTTGATAGCTTCTTCAGAGAAATGTGGATATTCTTCTTTGATACTACACCCAAACTCAACAAGTAGTTATCTCTTAAAGGTTAGAATCTGAAACCTTATCAGTTAGATTAAAATCCATTATCAATCTTGTACTTTGGATGGATCTTTACATATGCATGATTTTGTAACATCATGTGGTAGTTATTTGGAAAATATTGGCTCACTGAGTTAAGCAGATCTCCCAAATGCTGACACATTCCATGAAACACTATCAGAAAACCACATTCATTAAAATCAACATCAACCTCTTCAGAAAACTGTAAACACTGGGAAACTATCAAGCTCAAAATGGGAGATGCAGGTTTTCCAAAATTCAAAACTTCTGCTTAAAAGCTTGAATTTTAACATTGGCAATAAACACTGTCAACTGTTTTCCCTGAAGTGACAAGCTCACTCCATTTGCTTTTGAGAACATTTGTCAAATATTCAAGTTTGAATAGCCATAGTTTGGCTGTCAGCCATTCTTTTGAGAAAATTGGTGTGCTGTGAAGAAAACCCAGCTAGTTCACCCTGCCGCTTAAACAATAACTCAAGTGTTTCCTTCAAGAACCCCATCAGTCTTCAGTATGCAGCAGAAATGCTTTCAGCGATCGTCTCAATTTCACAACAGATTATTAAAACAACCTAAGGGTCAAGATTCAGTACAAGTGGTGATAATCACTGCTTCATCAAGGATATTCTTAAGTGAAACTGACTTGTTTTAGCTGCATGTGAATGGCGGTGAAGAATACAGTGACTCCTAGTACAGGATGGTACCACTGACTTGATTCCTGCTAAGGCAGCAAGTTTTACCTTCCATCATTTTTGCACTTTTGGTGCAAATGCCAATACAGAGAAAAAGGAAAATAAATCTCCGTGTTATTGTGAAAATAGTTTTGTCCTCCCAAATCTCCTGAAAGGGTCCTCAGAGTCTCCCCCAGGGTTCTATGCACTACACTTTGAAAACAGCTGCTCCGTGCTATTGGCCCCCAGACCGTGACTCACAGCTTCAAGAGCAGAGTGCTCAGGCCAGCTGTAATTCCAGCTCCACCACGGCAGCACCGACAACGCAGTAACCCCGAGAGTTCATGTCAGAGACTGAGCAAAATGTAACAGAGATTGTACCCAAGAGTACTACAACTCTTCTTACAGACTGGACCTGTGGACTGAGATGGCAGATGGTGTCTACGCTCACTTTCTGTGGGGAAATACCCTAGCTTCAAAGAAATTAGATATTTGAAGAACTGAAGAACAACTTAGGAAAGATTCATAGGGATTTGATATGTATAAATCATGCTTTAAGTTGCTTTAATTATCTTTCAAATATAATTTCCAGAATTTTAAATTATTAAATAATTGCTTTATCAAAATGGGCTTAGTGTCAAGAACATGTGCTGTGGAAAGGGAGATGTACTCACTAATACACACCGTACTCCTAGAATTCTGGAGATGAGTTATGTGAATTCTATAACTACAATGAAACTTCTCTCTGTCCAAACTGTGGGCAGTGCAAAAGCTCACGTGACAACTCTTTTGTTAAACTGCTGAAACAAAGGCTGAGCAGCAACACAAGCGACACTCCCTAGAGTTAGAATTCAGATGTATCCTTAAAAAAAAACCCTTAGATCTAGAAAATGTTCAGACATTCTACATTCTCACCGGTTTTGCAAAAATTGGTGACTAGTACTAAGCCTATAACTGTATTGGTAGAGTTAACAGGCTAAATTTCACCATTATTCATTAAAAAAATAACCACGTGGCTCCCTACCTTTGCCATCTTGGCATTATCATTATATTATTATACTGATCACATGGGCCACAAATGAATCACATGGTGCCCTTGAAGTAGAGTATGGTAGACAGATGGCATAGAAGGAACCAAGGCAATGAGTCAAGAACACACATGATGGGGGCTGGCCCCGTGGCCGAGTGGTTAAGTTCACACGCTCCACTCCAGGCGGCCCAGTGTTTCGTTGGTTTGATTCCTGGGCGCAGACATGGCACTGCTCATCAAACCACACTGAGGCAGCATCCCACATGCCACAACCAGAAGGACCCACAACCAAGAATATACAACTATGTACCGGGGTGCTTTGGGGAGAAAAAGGAAAAAATAAAATCTTTAAAAAAAAAAAACATGCACGATGGCCCCAAACAAAAATGGGTAAATAAAGCAGCATCTTTTTGTTTTGTGTAAGGTTAATAGGCAGTGCTAGGCAGGCTAGATTGAAAGCAACGGTAGGACAGCCAGGTGGAAATGTTTAATAGGCAAGGAGAATTGTGGGAGTGATGCTAAGGTGAGAGCTCAGACAGGAAACACAGATCTGAGAAACAGCAACAAAAGGCAATCTACAGAGTATTATAATTACTTTATTCATACCGTGTAAACAGAATTCCAAAGAAGCTCTGGGAAAAGAAGGGGATTAAGTCTTTCTTAAAAGACACTACTATTACAGAGACAAACTTTAGTTTACTTGATATAAAATACATATAAAACATGTAGAAATAGAAAAATCTTTCTTATAAACATTGAATATCCATTCCGCAACTTTTTAACAAGAAAAAATCTCACAGAAATAAGTCATACTTATGAATTAACTCATTCTTTTATTTAATCAACAAGTATTCGTTGGGAGCTTGTCACGTGGAGCAGTCTAGACAGTGGGGAT